TTTGCACTCATTACATCGCAGTCTCGTCGCGTCGTCCTTCTCTTTCTCTTTCTTTTCTCATTGCGTATTTTCTCTATCCTTTCGCTTTATCATTCTCGTCGTTTTATCAGCGTGCTTTATCCCGCGCTTCTCCCTCCTTTCCCAAATAAATAAAATAATCTTATTCTTTTCTTTCCTCCATCGTATTCGTTTTCTTTGCCTCTAGGTTTACTTCTTTGCCTATAATTTTATCTCTTTGCTTCTTAGTTTCTTCATCCTCTCAATCCTGCCTAGTTTTCTAATGTTTTTCGTAGGGCCTCATCTTGCAGCTTTCTCAAAGACAACAGAAAAATGTCTGCATTACTCATTCATAGCTTGCCTCTGTCGATTTTTTCATTACTTTGACGTAAAACAAGTTTTTTCTAAAAAATGTTCGTTTATCAGGAAAACAATAAGAGAGAATTATATTTATTCACTCAAATAATTCAGATGAAACAGGATGGCGGTCTCAATTTCTCGGAGAAAATATGCGATATGAAATTAAAGAAGATCAAGCGTTGATGACAAGAATTAGTTTTAGTTCTTTGAACCGTCCCAAATCTCCTATGAAAAATGACTGTGATATTACGGAAAATCTCGAAGTTTTATCATGTGTTACATTAAAAAATAAGATAAAAATGAGTAACCGATACTCATTTTTTATGAAATATAAGGGAGATAGTGACGTAAAATCATGATGTGAAATTTTCGCATAGAAATGAAATAGGGATAATGATTCATTTAGAACATTTCAGAATGGATATTAGAATAAGAGAGGAAACGTATATAAGTCTAGATTATATGTGTAATAATGTATCGTTAGGATTTAACCGCAATAATCGTTAAAGGCGATTAATTGTATCTGTCGACCAATCAAGCAAATTTAACCAGAAAATATAAGGCAAATGTGACAAAAAGTTAGACAGATATAAAATAAAACGTTTCTTAGTGCGATTTAAAAGCAATGGTGACGTAAACATGGAAATAATAACATAATAACTCTTACTTAGATCAATTCTCTTAGATCATGTACACCGGTGACTCAATCGAGGAGTGGAAACGCGGGAGACTCGTGTCTTCACGACGCACGTCATCGCGAAGAACGTGATGCCAAAGCCATCCAGAGTGAGTGACAAACGTTCGACCACTTTTTTATCCTAGCTACTTTATCAATCAAGGGTGATCGAAAAGTGTATAATATATCTATAAATCGAGCTATAAATAATACCTATTTTTTTAACTATTTATTTCCAGTATAGTTTTTCTGACATTATCGAGGACATTATAAATACATGTAGCCCTTAAAAGGACCGAAGGTCCCAAATATGACTAGTATAGTACATGCGTATGTGTTTATGTATTAAATCTTCGGTTAAAAACACAAATTCCCTGCTTTAAAAATACAAATTCTCTGCTTTAAAACACAAATTCTCTGCTTTAAAAACATAAATTCTTTGTTTCAAAGCAAAAAATTTGTGTAATTAAAGCAGAGAATAATAAATATATTCAGTACACGTTCTTACCTTGCCCTAAGGGTCTGCATAATCTTTTCAGTTTCTATTATTTTTAGTATATTGTAGACTCATTTACTTAATAAAACAAAGATTTAGTAATCTCGATAATAAGTTAAACTATAATGATGCAGTAAAATAGGCATAATAAATTAATAGTTAAAAAAAAGATAGGTAACACATTCTTTGACCCCTATCCCGATTGATTATCACTGTTAAAGTCGCGACAAAGTTTTTTATCAAGATCGCGCAAAAATTTTTTAATTTAGAAAGGGCTCTATTGTAAATAATTACCCAAATTTTTAATAACGGATTTATATTGGTTTATGAACTCCGCTGTATCCCTCTGATGACAATGCCGTATACTGCTCGTGGCTAAACGATTTTAGTGAAAAGGTTTTGAATGTATTTTTTGAAGTTACCTCATTTTATCCTTATTTGATGTGTAATAACAATGAAAACAGAAGATACAAATAGCGCTAATAGCGAATCTGCGAATGCATCTATAGTGTGCTTTATTTAAAAAAGTGTTTGTCTAAAGTATTCTAAAATAAAAAAATATAATTGTTGTGTCTTATTTTTATGAGGTCTAAGTAACTATTTAATCTAGTATATCAAAATCAAAAGTGCTCAGCACCTCATTTTCGAAGTTTTGCATAATTACATCCGCGATTATTAGAGAAAGAAGTGATCCCATTGGTGTTCCAAAATTCTGTTTATATATGATGTTATCGAAAGTGAAATAAGTTGAATCGAGTACAAACTGGACGGTCCCTATGAATTCCTCGTTAGGTACATTGAATTGAAATAAATTCTCATCTATTTTCTAAACTCTTAATTGCCAGTTCTGTAGGAATGTTTGTAAATAATGACGTAACATCAAGAGAGATCAATATGAATTCATCTTCAATGAATTTATTGTTAAGTTTTCTGACTAGATCAAAACTATTATCTATATGATTGGCAGGTACTGGTATATTTTTAGTTGTGATGTTGTGTAAAAAAATTGCAATTCTGTATAGAGGACTGTCTATATTGTCTATAGACGACACAATAGTTCTGAGAGGGCAATCCAATTTGTGAATCTTTGGAAGACCATATGTTCTGGGTAACAAATCGTCGCTTACATTTAGAGATCTATAAGTATTATTAAGAGATATATTTTAAGATATATATTTTAATATTTAGAGAGATCTATAAGTATTATTATAAGTATTTTTCTTCTTCAAGATATATAAAACCAAGAAATTTTTCACTTCACGAAAACTTCTTTTATCGCTCGTGTAAACGCGTAACACTCTTCGACAAGAAACCGTGATTCGTTCTGAGATACAACCTTGAGTGAAAGAAAAAGACATTGTGTGATAGAAATTTCTTGTTCCAGTTGAAGTTTCTTTTCTATAATTACAACTGTATGTAAAGGCGCGTCGAGTACAAGACAGTGGATAGAACAACAAGGGGGAGCACGATCGTGAGAAAGATGAAAAAGGATATAACGGAGAAGCGCGAAGATGGAAGGAAAACGAAAAGAAAAAAAGGAAATCTTTCTTGCTATCTATATAGAGTGAGGAATCGCGCATAATAAATAGCTTGAATGTCTGAGAGTCGTACAAAAGGCAACTCGTTATATTCTCTGACGTTTTCTTCTTTTCCGTAAACGCGAAAAGAACGTGCGAGCAAAGACCGATAAAAAGACAAAGACGCTATACGTTGAACAAATGCACGTGGAATTGTTTTTAATTTCGATGATATAACAATCCAAGAAAATTAAACTTTTTTACCTATTTTAAGCAAAATTGTCATAAAAATTTTTTGGCGAAAAGTTCGAAATGGCATAATATACGATATATTAAAAGTCCTGACCATCCGCAAACTTGGGAAGCTTTTCAACTTTAAAAAACTGGCGGCCCGAAATGCGGTTTTTCTACAATGTCTCACAAAGTATTGATTTTATCGAAACAAAGGTTATCAAAAGTTGTTTCTTTTCGCAAATATCTTGGATTTGGCTACTTTCACAAAATACTTATATGAAGAGATTAAAAGTTATTAAATTCTCTACAAAACCGTTTTTTATTCATCCTCGTACGACTAATAACTTCCGAGATATGATTTTGAGAACTTTTCTTGTATTTTTAAACAAAATATATTTTTTAACGTTTATCATAAATATTCGGCCACTCTTATGTAAAATGAAGTACCTACTGTCAACTAGAAAGTTAAATTCCTTACAAAATAATGTTTGTCTTTTAAGGACGTTTTATACAATTGTAGCAAAAGGTTGCTGAAATTTAATTTTGATGAATATATGCTCTTCTGATATAGTTTAAGTAATAAGGATTGTGCAGAAATCTATCATTTATAGATAACAGAGTGCAGAAATTTTTTAATTTCTATTGCTTCATTTTCTAAGAATTTTCGAATTTTCTGAATTATAATGAGAAACTTTTGGTAGTGATAAAAAATGTTTTTCATTAAAAAAAAAGTGACCTTGCCCTGACCTTGACAACGCCATCTAAGATCAAACCAATGGTACCATCTTATACCCCCCTCGAAGTCATGAAACTTTTATTCGAAACATTTTTCTCTAAAATGCACTGTTCAAGAGATATACACTGTAAAAAATAAAATGTTAATTTTAACTTATAGTTGTATAGCGGATTTTCTGAGACATGCAAAAATGTTAAAATTAACACAAAAAAGATTTATTTTAACATTTTTGCATGTCTTAGAAAATCCACTATACGTCTTTAAGTTAAAATTAATATTTTATTTTTTACAGTGTGTATGAAATCATCATTTAAAATGGGACATCCTATAAACATAGATATACTTAGAGGCGCAATATAATACGTTTTTTGTAGTAGTACATCAAACGGGCCGTATAAAACAGGATGTAAATATATATCAAGACAAGGAGATGAGAAGTCACGAGAGAACATGAACTTTTGATTATACGCACTATAAATTTTCAAGCACGCGCCATTAACTCGCCGGTAGGTGAAAATCTGGCTAAATCGATGAATCCCAGCAGAAAATAATATTGATAAATTATTTCGCGGACCATGTTGAGAGTCCGTTTCCGACGCTGTGCAATTACATGGATAATTGGTAAAAGAAATTAATAACGAAGTTTGATAGAGAATAAAAAAATTCATATTCATTAAGATTCTCGTAGAAAGACAGATTCATACTATTTTCCTGTTAAGTACATAATTATAAAAATTGATCATAAAAACGATTTATTAAAAATAAGTAATTAACAACAAAAGGAATAATTTTGAGTTTAAAGAATGGCCTTCGAAGTAATTACTGACCACAGCAGAGTTAAATGGCAAAGATGCTATTTGTACAGACAATGCATCGTAAATGAACGAAATCACATGCAACGCGCCATTAAAACGGAAACAGATAAAAAAGCGTAACTACTATATGACTGCGAAGAGTAAATTGTCGCTCAGGATACAAAAAGAATCAGAATAAAGATTGACTCGTCTGACGAACGGATCGCAACCGCTTAATCGAATCGAGATGGGTGCTGTTAGTTTTGCTCTTACCTTCACGGTTTTTCTCTACCTATTATCATCATTGTCGGTGAGTAAATTACGCAACTCGGCGCAACATGTCACTTTAAGTTTGATTGTATTTTTCTCAGAATGCATATAATCTTGGAAAAGTGGCAACAACTGAACAATTAAGCAATAATTTCGTCAATATCATTAAAATACCGAAAGAAATTAACAGTAATAACAGGGAAATCGAATTAGAGATTGTGGATGGCTCTATGAATCCGTTGATAGTATCAAAACCTGTAGCCTCTATAAGAGATCCAACGAAACTGAACGTAGGTTTTCAAGCTAAAGTTGAATCGAAAAATCTTCCGTTAAGTCCCATTCGAGGAGACGTCTCAACGAATGTCCAGCTTGCGAATCAAGCGAAATGGTTACAAGACACACTATCAAGCGAAAGTAAAGCTTCTAAAGAATTTTCGTCGGAAGAGGAATGGGTTAAAATTCCAACAAGGAGCCCTAGAGACAGGGAAGAAGAACGTGAATATTTTTACCTGTACATTCCAGATATTAAGGATACATTAAAAGATAAGTTTACCAAGGCGAGTATGCAGCTTGGATTGGATGTCGGTGTCACATCGAAGAAAGACACGGACAAAATCGATACCTTGATCATCAACAATCGCTCGAGAGGGAAGAAGCATTATATCTGGCTCTGTAAAAGATTAATCGACGGATCGATAATGAGTTTGATACAGAAACTGCATGGCAAGGACTGCGTGAAACTCCCGAGGAGTGAATTTTATCTTGAATCAAATACGAAGAACGTGAATTGGAAAAAAGACAGCACAGTTAGGCTAATAGGATTAAAAATTGGAACGAAGCCTGGCGACGGAAAGGTAATCCTTCAACACTTCGGAAGTGGAAATAACGAAAATAAACAGCGGAGCGGAGTAATGGACATGGTCGAAGCTTCAATTTTAGATACTTTGGCTAATTACGATGAATCGAGCATGAAAGCGACCGACAAGCATGGAACGGGTCTAAACATCAATATGCCTTTAATCGATGGTAAAATCGCTAATCTCTTGCACGACGGTAAACTTTCGCTATCTGCGTCAACCGCGTTAAAAGTGTGAGAGAGTGATAATTAACGATTGAGTCCGTTAACTATTTAATTCACAGCTTCGATTAATTATTTAATTTATACACATATATGTATGTATGTATGTATGTATTTATATGTGTACAAAAAATAAAGACATTACTCATACTGTTAAACCCATTTTAATTCGGAGATTCATGAGGATAAAACTTCCGAAACATGTACGCGTATTAAAATAGCAAAGCATAGCTAGCGTTAAAGATTAGATGTAAAAGAAATATTAAAGTTAAATAAAGTATTTAAACAAAACCGCGGATAGTCGCAAAATTCGTTTGAACCCGAAGCATGCGACTTTTAACATACAAGACCTATCACCCCTCTATAATTCCACATTAGCTTTTCCTGAAGAAAAAGGATTCCAGATCCGGTTTGAGGTCAATTGCCTCGACTTACACTCAAGGTTGGAGCGTGTGACACGACTATTAAGACACAATAGATCATTTGAAACTGTTGTAGCACATAATTAATCTTAACAACAGCAGCCGCGGCGCGGATATTCGCGGTGACTGGCGGCCTTCGTGCGGATAACCAGAACAAGATCTAAATGATTTTCCGCTTTCAAGCTTCTCTATCTTGTAGTCCGACGTCTTGTAATATAATATGATGTCGACAATTTATAAATAAATTAGCAAGGATCGCAAAAAAATTATGAAAACATTACATTTGAAAATTGTTAAGAGTCAAAGAGTTTCTTCAACATGAACGCACATTGAATTATCGCGCATATTATACGGGATGTCCCATTTTTAATAATGCATTAAGATTTTTCAAAAACTACCAGATATGTAAAGATGAAACCAGAATTTTTTAATAGAAAATACACGTTTATTGCATGAAAATGATAAAAAATATTTTATTCGAAGTATTGCCCACCGCTAGCTATACATTTTTCCAACCTGTCTGACAATTTGTGGATGCCACGCCAAAACAATTGTTGCTCTTTTGAGCCAAACCAGTCATCTAGCGAGTGCTCACTCAACTGTTGAGTCGGCTGAACGCAGCCATTGTTTGTGAGTCCTCAAGAAACAGGAAATAACAATCATTTGTCCGAGAAGTGGTGAGAACATTGCTAGAATGGCTTAAATGAACTTAATAATTCTCATAGCTTTGACCGTATGTTTGTATTACTTTAGCCAAATAAAAATAGCGAATAGTTCTTCTATAACTGATCACATTAAAAGGTTGGGTTTTGAATTTGCAATTGCGAAAAAATCCGATACATAGAGTACACAGAGTAAGAAAAAAATATGGAAACCTTGAAGATTTTGGAAAAATATAAAAGATATCGAAAAATGTTTCAGATGAAAGTGGAATAATTTCAAGAGGGACGTATTTTGTCACGTCATTATTTTCTAGATAGAAGCATCAAAAAGATAAGAATGCACGCAGAAGCAAACGTTCTCCCACGGATAGAGAATCTGTACCGAATTCAAAATGGTGTCTGCAATCGTACTTGCGCGACCGAGTGACCAATGACTTTGCCTATTATTATCAAACGAGATAATGAGATAACATGACACGTCGGAATCGACAGGTGATTTTTGTTCCATTTGATTCTCAATAAATTTCTAATATAGTAGCATCGCATAATTCAATTCGAGCTTATTGTTCAGTAAGCTTATGGATGTGGGAATAAGAATAAACACGAGAATAATTTACGAGTCGAACATTAGAGTTTGAAAATTAGATCCATCAAGACGAAAATTACGTCCAATGAAAAATACAGTGCAATCGATTGCGGTAGCACAGGACGTTAAATGCGGAGAATATTTTATGATCAGAATGGATCAAAGGAAAAAAAAAGTTTAATTGTTTTTATAGGAAGGCTAATTGCTAAAAAGTATTTTACTCTACGAAAGGGAAGTATTCGTAAAATTCGTACATTATGATGTACATTATGTGAAAAAATGATTCTGTTTTATAAACGGTAAAAAATTACAGAATTGATTTGTCGAGAAAAGGAGGGTAGAAATTTCAGAGATGACAAACGTTATAATATAAAATATGATCTAATTAGCGTTTTGTGGAGCAATATTATTCACATTGATCTAACTTGGAATTAATTTCATAAATAAATTGTTAAAGCATAACTGATAGTGATTTTATAACAATGCGAATAAGGATTTTATTCACTTCATTTCAATGTATCAATTTTTTCTTAAATCTGGTATTGTATTAAAACGATTATTTTCGGTTTTATGAAGAAAAGTACATAACAAAACACAGAAATAAAGCGATACCCTAGCGGTGACAAAACTCTCAAAAAGTTCTACCCTCCTTTTCTCAAAATTTATCAAGGAATGAAGTCGCAAGCGAATTTTTGTCGCAATCAAAAAAATGGAGTCTCCATAGTAAAATGCTCCATCCTGACCTCCATTCATGTTGATTTTATTTGCGATATGACTAAAATTTTGTGAATTGAGACGAGCCCGGTAGGTAGGTATAGTTTAGGCTTCGCGAGACAATTTGCGAAAATTGCAAGTTAAACCCATACACGCGTGCGGGGCACTCGGCTGCTCGCGTAGGCAGGCCTTCCCTCTTCCCTGCCTACACACACACACGGCCGGTTTATTCGCCATCGTTCCACGGAGTTCAGTCCTCTGGACAGTTTTATGTAACACGATTCGTGTAATCGCGATCTTACTTCGCCGGCGTAAAAGAGGATACAGCCTCAAAGATGGCCTCTCCTCGCCGCTGTCAAATTCGCGGCGTCACGTAAAGCGTCGAGATGAAGCACGGGACACCAGTGTTCCGTCCGCTTCGAAAAAAATCTCGAGATTAATTAACAATTCAGTCAGTACTCACGACAATGAGCACGATGGTGTTAGAGGAGCCTGCGTGTGACGCGCGAAGCCCAGCGGAGAGTCTCACCACCTGACGTGATGCCCGATGAGCACTATCCAGCACGCGCCACTTCTTGCGTGCCCTACACCGTTTTTGCGGAAAGGGTTTTGTACGTTGCGCTCGTCACAAGCGTAAACGTGAACGCGAACGCGAACACGAGAGGTCGTTTGAACACGTTGCGTGTCGTTGCGCCTGGCAGAAACGCGGTCACCACCTACGCTGTAAACAGCTGTACATTGGCTGAATCGGAACACGACACCAGTTCGATCGACCACGATCAGTTGTCGTAAACACTGGTCGCCATGCTGCCAAGGCACCTGTCAATACACACGCGGCGCGCACCATCTTGCGCACGACCGTTGCAAGTACCGCGCTGGCGCCTGCAGATGGCATGTACAATGTTACCACCATCGAAAAACACTTTTGTACCAATTGACTGGCAAATTAATAAAAAAGATTAACGCTTGTTGCCTTTTAATAGAAAATAACAATAAACTTTACTTCAATCGTTCAACAAAAACTGTGTTTTAATAAATATGCATGTTACAATATCATACACGTCACGTAACTTCAATGGTCGCGTTCAGCAAGGCCCGTCTACAATACACGGAGTAAGAAGTAAGAGTAAGAAATTGACCAATCACAGTCGAATGTGAGAAGAATACTAGACTGTGATTGGTCAATTTCTTACTCTTACTTTTTACCCCGTGTATTGTAGGCGTCGTCTACAATACACGAAGTAAGACGTAAAAGTAAGAAATTGACCAATCACAGTCGAGTATTCTTCTCACATTCGACTGTGATTGGTCAATTTCTTACTCTTACTTCTTACTCCGTGTATTGTAGACGACGCCGCAGACTTCAACTGTTGCGGAGCGGATTCGTGAGCGCTCGCTGCTATTGGATGGTCTAGAAGAATACACCAATAGCAGCGAGTGCTCACGGATCTGCTCCACAACAGTTGAGTCTGCTTAAAGTCCTAGATTTATCAGAGAGGCGCAACCAGCTTAAGTCAGTATGACAAAGGTGCTAAGGAGAGTACTAAACATGGCCGACGTGTTATGAAACTGCCTTTAAACTATGTCAAACAAGATAAGACGTGTAGGATAATGTGAGATAGAATGTAGAGGATAAAATGAAATAGAAATACGTCACTAGTACTATAAATGGCTGCCAAGTCACGCAATTGGTCAGATTGCAACAGCGAATCAGAATGCATAACACCGGTTGCGCCTCTCTGATAAATCTCTCTAGGACGCACCAACTGCTCATTTCGGGTGTCGGTGCAACTGGTGTGTTCGACTGGTTGAATGGACAAATTTGTTGGGACTAGGTAATTGTATTGCTGGATTTACCCTGCATCCGATTTGCGTTGTACGACGTTCTGCAACCAATCAGAAAACAGGATTCCGATGGATTTTGCTTCGTATCATCGGAATTCTGTTTTCTGAAACGCACCAACTGCCCATTTCGGGTGTCGGTGCAACTGGTGTGTTCGGCTGGTTGAATGGACAAATTTGTTGGTACTAGGTAATTGTATTGCTGGATTTACCCTGCATCCGATTTGCGTTGTACGACGTTCTGCAACCAATCAGAAAACAGGATTCCGATGGATTTTGCTTCGTATCATCGGAATTCTGTTTTCTGATTGGTTGAAGAGCGTCGTACGACTCAAATCGGATGCAGTGTGAATCCAGCATAACGGACACACGAGATCCGATTTGCGAGTGCGCTCTAATATCACTTAATTCATCAAAATTACACTTGAACAGACTCGACACACTCTGACTCTCCTCCCGAGCAGAGGCGAAATGTGTCGATTGAGTTTGAATAGAATTGTAAATGGAAAACGACGTGTGTCGATTTGTGTCAAGTGCGTCGACTGTCTCCTAAAAGGAAAGCAGCCATTGATAGAACATAAGGTAAATGTTGAAAAGACTTCCCTCCATTTTGAATTTACGCCATTTCAATCTTATGTTATGGATTAAAATGAATTGCATGGCTTATTTTTTCCGTAAAACTTTTGTTCGATTGAAAGTAACACAAATCCTGTAGATACAATTCTATATCATAAATTAAAACGGATTGGATGGCATATTTTTTCTTTAAAATTTTTTTTCGATTAAGAGGAATAGAAATTCCATAGTTTCAATTCCATGTGATGGATTAAAATGGATTCAAACATTGCTTATATTTGAATTGGATTAAAATGGATTTTAAAAATCAAGAAATTGAATTGCAATGATCTAACGAATCTATTTCAATCCTTTTTGAATTCGTTATATTATATTTATAGATTCAAAAAACAAGTTTGACTAGATAAAAATGATGTGTTATGACTTTTTGAATATCAGTTATGAAAAACAGAATCAACAGTAAAGCATAATGCTATGTAGATTTTATCAATGTTACTAAAACCTTATTGTAAAACAAGATGTTTAACATAAAGTCTTTTTCGCGTGCTGTTTGTGTCGAAAATTGAGCTCGACTAAATTATATCAGGATTTTGTCATGAACTTGATACAAATAAATAAAATGTCGTTTTCAATATAATTAATTATTACGCGTGTAACTTATGCAGTTTTTATATTTTAAAATATACATATATTTATATAATTTATTATTAACATTGGAAGCGTATACAGTGTTAGTGTCAATACAAAAGAAGGGTTCTTGCATACTCGGTAATAAATTAAGATTATAATGATAATAATTATAATAATAAACGAACACACATCACATGTCGGGAAAGAGATGTAATAGTACAATATTAAACTCTAAAATAAGAATACGCTCTGACAACGCCGCGTTGACGTATTAATAGCCATAATTAGAACGACGGGCGTATCTGTAAAAAAAATGGAATCGCGTCGTTTGAAATATAATTAATGCTATAATAAATAATAATGAGTCTATACCGTCAAGTACGAAGAACGTACGACTACATCGATACGCGACTGGCGACCCTTTCCCGATTACAAAAAAAAAAGAAAAGAAAGACAATTCCTTAAAATAATCTATAGATGATATTGTTCGTCATCTGTCATGTATAACAACGGTTTACGAATCATAATTCCGCTACGTTAATCAGAATTTGCAAACGCGCGGCTGTCTGAAAAGGAATCGGCAATCGCGGTACTATATATTATCGTAGAAATAGCAGTAACGATAACAATCTGGACTGCGACTGGCAAGATGCTCGTTTCTCTCGAGCGCGTTTTTCCCCATAAAAATTCAGCGCATTTCGGATCGTCGAAGGGGCGATCAAATATCCGAAATTCACGTGACTGATATTTTATCACGTCGCGCCTGTCCGTCAGGAATCACGAACATTATACTCGTACTCGAATGGAGTTCATCGAATTTGCAGTTGGTTAATATGAGAGCTGAGCAAACTTAAATACTACAAGACTCGTGACGAATCAATGTACGATAATAGTCACTTCTCAAATCTGAGAGATACAAGTCAAATTATCTTGTCGATCAATTTCTCTCTTCTCTTTCTCTTTCTCTCTCTCTCTCTCTCTCTTTCTGGTGTCACCGTGCCAGCTCAGTCGAGCTTAATAGAGATAATTTTTCGGCTCCTCTGTCGGCTGTCCGCACACTCCATGATATTTTTTCGTGACAAGGCTCCTGCTGCGGCAGTTTTCAATCTCCAGGAAGCACTCATTGCTGTACGTCATGCCATCGGTGCCGCAAACCGGGTCGTAATAAGGTGGACAGATCTTCTGACAGCCACGAAACAAGAAACCTTGGACACACCTCTTCATAGGTACCACATATACGTGTTTCCTGGAATTAAGGTTTTTTTCTTCGTTTAAAATACCATGATATTATTAATGTAAAGAACTGAATTGTACTATTTTACTTGGGACATTAGGAAATAATTATACATCATTCAGAGAATTTGAAAGAAAGATTTCGATCTTATGTAGCACAATAGTTTCTTTACATCTATCATTTTTTAAACATTAGAATTAGATTAGAATTTATTTTGCATAGATACATATACATCGAGTATGCATTAATAGTGGGCGCATTAGAAAGCCGTCGAAAATAAAAAAAATGACTCCTTTGAGAAAACGGGTCGCACGGAGGTACCAACAATTTCTACTTTCGAAATTTCGCGCGATTGTATTCGATTCAACTTCCCGAAGTAGGATACTTTCCTTTCACGTATTTGAACAGCAGGTTCAAAAACATCTTGTTAGTATGCGGCGGGCGCATGCGTGATAGAAGTAGTTATTTTCATAAAGAAAATGTAATGGAATGGCTCTCCGGCGCTGAATCACTCACGGACTTTCATCGGACATGCACGCGATGCCGGTTCGAATTAACCGTTTCTCAAGGACCAGTTTCTTGGATGATCTTCTCTTCCTCGGATGTGTTTCAATAGCGCGATCAGGCGTAATGAAAGTCTATGGAAAGTATTATATCGGGGAAAAAGCACGATCGCGGTCAACGAAAATTATATGCGCGGCACGAAACTCGCCGCTCTCTACAGTACGTACACTTCTGAATAATTGAATTTGAATAATTAGCCTTTTTACTTCCAGCAAGGTAATAAAATTACTCTATGGTAGTTTTTTTCTACTAAACCGTAACGAAAGTTATATCTTGACATTAAAGGAACATGATTAAATTATTCTAAAGTAATTTAATTACTTTTCTTGATAGTGGAAAACCTAATGAAATAAATTTTCTTTAAAAAATTAAAATTAATTTAAAGCGTTTATTTCATTTCACAACTCGTCCACAATTAATGAGAGGCATTTTAATATATCTTAATATTTTGTGGGATAAAATAATAGCTTTGAATGTTTTTATCAAGATATTATTTTTATTTCTATTGTTATAATTTTCATCATCACAATTAGCGATGATTTAATTTATTGCTACTATTTAATAAAAGCTATAAAGAGAAGAGAAAGATCTATAAGAATTAATTCTATCATGCAATTATGCACTTCTTGAGATTCCTTTGAGAATTAGCCCAAGATTAATTCATTAAAAGCACTCACTAATCGTGCACTTTTCGAAAAAGAAAAGCGTTATATTTCAATAAAACGTGCAAACATAATGTTTCGTGGCTTACCCGCAATTGTCCCTTTTCATCTCGCACTCGTTTCGATAAAGCTTGTTATCGGAACCGCAAACAAACTGACGCTCCCCGCTGCAAATCTGGTTGCAAAGGGCAGTAGTGCGACAGTGTTGCGCCGGAACTTGAACTACCCTCTGGCCGCAAGTCTCACGTTGTAGATAGCACAGAGATCTAAATGCATACAAGTGCACACATGACGTAATCATAAACCTCGTTTTCTGAAGGAGTAACGATCCGCAGACGCTATTTAAAGTCTGATCTACAATTGCATACGTGTTATACGTGGCTGTAACTGTAAAAATTCAATCATTGCCGAATACAAGAAGAATATTCGATTGTGATTGATTCATTCTTACAACTACAACCACTTACAACTACGCTTAAGCAATTGTAGAGTAGACTTAAGCGTTTAACTGTTATCGCTGTTATAACATGTTGTGTTCAGTTCGAATTGTCCTTAATCTTGAAAAAAAATGTTAGAATTTAAATATTTCGATTTAACCCGTAGAAGTTTGTCATTGTGCTCTTATCACGGATTTCAACTCAAACAAATGCGTATGGACGGATGTACATTTATATGATGGAAAATCTCGGAAATTTCAATTAATATCAATTTATCTCGCTCGATTCACGATCAGAACCGGATATCATAACAAGAGAAATTTTGAAAACAGCCCGAGACCTCTAGTCGAACGACCATTTGAGATGCACGCGTTTTTAAAATATTCGGCGGCGGACGTTCTGGAATCCGAATAACACTCTTAATCACCGATAAACGTTGCCGTCGCTTCCACAAACTGGTTCCTCGGGTACTTCAGCACAGTCTTCAGGGCAGTGTTCGATCTCTTTCAAGGTCGTGCACTCGCCAACATGAGCTGATTGAATGCCCTTTCTAAAACGTATTAAGTATCGGGGAAAATTAATTTGTCTCGTTGATAACTTGTGGTTTCTAGAGTTCATAATAGAATATTTGCCACATCCGACGAGAGGGTAAATTTACCAATATTTTTCCGACATAAATGCAAACTTACAAGCAAATCGCTACGTTCAAATGGCACTGATTTGTATAGGTATTTGCGTCACTACCGCAAACCGGATCTACTTCGCTTCCGCATCTCTGCTGTTGCTTCATGCATTTCGTTAGCCGGGATCGACACTTCTCAAAGTCTACTACCGTTATTTTTCTTCTTGCATGCCTGTTGATTAACATTTGGCTAAAGACTCACGTCGGCCAGTTATTCATATAACAAGAAAGTAAGTAAATTGAATTTTTTGAGTGTCTTTGGCAAATTCGAGATTATATCTTTTCATTGCATCAATTTAATGCATCAACTTAAATATATTTGTAATTCAAATATCTCTTCCTTATTTCAAAAGTGTACCTTAACTTCATAATAAATCATGACAACTAAAAAAGGGTAATTTTTAAAAAGTCATCAAATTATTACAATTCAAAAGAGTTGTTAAAAAAAATCATTAAAATTGTTAATTCACAATTCAAAAAGAGTAGTTTTTTAAAGAGTTTTTTTAAGAATTATGAAACAAAGATGACGATTGTGAAAATTTGTCCTTTTTCCTGAAAAACTTGTAGTGAATTCGATTGAACGCACTCAGTGCGCACTGGTGAATATTAAAGCCGTCGTATAAATTATCGTAAAGATGTATATTTAATATAAATATAAAAACGGGTTAAATCATGAAATCATTAATAGATTTTATTGTGCTATTATAAGTAAAATATGTATTTTATAATTCGAAATATTTGCATTTATTTGCACACTTGGATTTAATCTGTGTATAACGGCTTTAACATGCACCAGTGCATGCTAGGCGTACACAGAAAAAGAGACTATTCTTAAATCAACCATAATATATTCATATATTTAAGCAAAAATATTGTAATCTTGCTTTAAAAATTTTAGTCTTGATATAAGATTTTTAATTGAGCAAGTTTTAAATTAAGCGCGAAGTAATACTTGCATCAAAACAAATTTAATCAAATCAAGATTGATATCTTTGAAGCAAGATTACAATATTTTTGCTTATATATGAATATAATATGGTTGATTTAAGAATAGTTTTTTTTCTGTGTACAATTTAATTCGCTATTAATTTTTTGAGTTGCGTCACTTTTGAAGTCAATTAGAGAGTGATATGGTAGATGAATACAAATGTATACGCACCCACAGTTTAGCATTTGCATCTCGCACTCGTTCCTGTATATATTTCCGTCCGATCCACAAACCGATACTTCCGGCTCATCTTTGCAATCCAAGGGACACGCGTTGCTTCCGGATGTCCGTTCTCGAGATACGCAGAACGACATCGGCACTTCAAAGACGTGCTTGCTAAAAGGCACAATTCAATAAGTATCGTTGGAGTTTAATGAAATCTTTATATCGAATAAAATCGCGACGAAGTTTGCATACTAAAACGTAATTAGATTAAAACTCATCGATTAAATGAAAATTCAAATATTGAGAAATGTTAGGCCGCACGAGTTGCTTCGCGTTCTAACAAATCTAATATTTAGACAATCCCGGTGAAAAGAGGCGAAGTTAGCTCGAGTGTTTTTTTAAATTAGGCAAAGGGTTATAACGAAGAGCACAGGGGAATGATTCATGAATAATTAAGTGCGTATGGGGAGCAATACTGAGACGAAAGAAGCAAAGGAAAAAGGGTGGGGCTTATGAGAGTTTTTTTTAGAAGATTCTGCGTGGTCCCAGTCATGTTGAATTCGTTGAGGATCTGCCGCTTACCCGCAATTTTTCGCCCGCATTTTGCAGGTGTTCGAGTACAAAATGCCGTCGCTACCGCAGGCAGGCTTGGCACCACGCCAGCACGATTCACGACAATGTCTTGTGGTCTGACAGTGCTTCTTATTTGTACGCACGACGCCTTGGCTGCGAACCGGAAAAATTAAAATCGTTTTGCGGCCAGACTAGTTTTATGTTAAATTTAAAGAATAGACTCTTTTACGCTTTACGATGAGAAACGACTACAACAGCGTGTTTGTAGTGAATTACAGTTTTTATAAAGAAATTTTTTTCCATGCAAAAAATGGAAGAAATAATAGATGAGGTGTAGCCATAAATATAATCATGAATAGAGATCCGACTTTATCGCGTGAAAAAGAAATAATTCTAAACTTCAGACAAATACGAGAGACTGCAGAGACTAAGCATGATTTTCGTAGGTTTAAAATTTTCCGATCCACGTAACTCTGTCGTTCGTAACTGTAATTGAGGTCGATCTTCAACGTACCCGCAAGTAAGCAGCTTCATCTGACACGTAGATTTGTAAACGTTTCCATCGCTTCCGCAAACCGGTCCGTCGAGCGGCGCGTAATCGCACGAGACTGGACAGTTCTCCCTGTGAGCCGAAATATTGTTGCAGGGCCCAAGATGAGACAGCTCGATTCCGACTCGGCAGATCTCTACCCTGAGCATACACTTGTTCAGGTAGGTACGCCCATCGGTGCCGCATACCGGATCTTGATCGCCCGGACAGCGATGCTCGCACTTGCTACCGGATGACCTCAGGCAAGCCGTCTTCTCCGTGGCCACGGTAATGCCTAAATAAGCGTATGACGGCGAAATAATGAGATACGTAGATAAATTTTGCACGGTCATTAAGCGAAACGAGATCTTCGCGTATATACACATGACCTCCGTCGTCTACGACGAACAAATAATCTAACGCTCTAGCGCTTAAATAGTTCGTTTCGACGCTCCAGGAAATCGTGATTCGTTTTGCAGCTACGTATAATTTATCACGGCCATCTATTATACAAATGAACGGATCCTCGTTACCATAAGCTGTTATCGCCGATAGAAAAAGAATACGAATAGGAATCTCTTTATCGTGACCATTTACGTAAAGCACGATAATATCGCATGAAAATCGGCGAATGAAGGTCGCATTATTTCCGCAATTGTAATTGAAGTGCGCGCCCACCGTGGTTATATTTCTCGATAAACCGCTACTAATGAGCCTTATTCTTACGGTCAGTTAATATACAAAACGGGATAACGAAATCATACAGAGTTACTACGATATACTGAAGCGACCAGTGTTTCGGAGAGGGAAAACTGTAATCTCGCGGCGAGCGAACCGGAGCGCGTGTGTTACTGTAATAACTAATAACTATTATAATTAAAAGCGCGCCTTACCCTTTCCGCACATCTTCTTCCGCATTTCACACTGCGACGCGTATATGACACCGTCGCTACCGCAAACGGGTTCGCCACTCGGCGGACATATTCTGGGACACGCACTGGACACGTAATCTGCGTGAAAAAAAAAAATAGAAGCTTTATTGACGTAGAAGATAGTATAAATTTGTCAACATAAATGTAGTGTAATTTAAAGTAGCACCTCAAAAGATTGAAGGCATCAGCAATAGTACTGTTTACGAAGCTAGATCTTAATATAATTGAAATAATAAAAATTTTGCACTTACAAACGTGCGACGAAAATATATGGAATTAAAAACGGGAAACGATGTAAAGAGATCCCAACAACATAAATATGGTTGCAACTTTTGTGCTATTGGGGAAAGCAGCTGTTCTAAAAGTAGAGATGGATGTAGAGAACCAAATGTTACTAAATAAGAAGAAATATTTGATTGCAACATAAAAAAAATTATGATATTAATAAGGAGAATATATGTACAATAACGATTTACACTTAAAGCGCGGTTGTAGTAATATTAATCAAATCGTAATCAAAGATAATTGTATCTTAATAGCATCTCAACGTGGAACGATCATGGAATGTACGATATTTCATTAAACTGTACGCCTTCCTGCTTACTTAATAGACCGTATTTTAACGAGTATGTTTGTGTACTGTTAAAAAAGCAAAATTTAAGCGTCAACGGTACTCTGATTAAAAAAGAAGAAAAAAGAGAAAAAAAGTGTAACAATTACTGTTAGATGTTTCGTTTTGTTATGCGTCATCACGATATAACCTAACCTTGCACTATCACATACCTCACGTGCTAAGAGAGTACCTATTATTGTAACGATACATAATTGTATTTAATAATCATAATGTTTAAGCATATATGTAACGTGGTCGGCACCAGTGATGGGTATTTGGCCCCGCGCAACACAGAGAATCAGCCCCTCCACTTTTGCTCTACCAATTGACGCTGTGTTCGGCTAATACAGAGTGGCGTCAATTTGTGGAATAAAAGTGGAGGGGCTGATTCTCTGTATTGCGCGGGGCCAAATTCCCATCACTACTCGGCACAGGGAAGAAGCAGAGTTAGCAAAAAATAAATACCTGCCTAAATGGAGGAAGTGAGGGTGTTTCCTCATGACGTAATAGTCGGAATTTTCGAAAACGGAATCTCGGAAAAATCATACGACCAATCAGAATTATTAGTTTATACAACATGCTAAACTGAAAAGATTCTCATTTAGCCTTTATTCAAATGTATTATTAAAAGATTCTTATTGGTCGTATATGACTTTTTCGAGATTTCGACTGTCATGGCCAGAATCAATCTGAGTCATATCTGTGATTTAACTATAATACGAAATACACACAACCATATATCTCTCGATGAGGAATCCTCATTCTGACGAAACGATCACTCAAATATCTTACTGCAATCTATTGAACATAAGAAGTCCATTAAATAATTGAACGCGGAAGAGTGCTTGCGGCAACGTTTAATACGCGATATATCGGATAAGATCAGCCTGACACAATCGCATAGCGATCCGATCGAGACGTAAGGCTTATGAAATGCATCACCCGGCGTACCTAAGGTATACGCACGCATTTCTAAATTTTTTTATTATCCTAATCTCAAGAGTGGGAAGAATATTTATCGCGTGCGAACACGTGTAAAATTTATTTCGTAACGATCTCGCTACACGTCAAACGCTTTTCAATTATAAAACTTTATGACTGTAAGACGTCACAAAGGCAAAACTGAAGTTGTATGGGGTAAATTTGGGTAAGAGATGACTATCTTTACAATGCAAAAAAACTTTAATTTTTGTTATCTTTAATAATGTTATTATGGTATATCTTTTTCGCCATACGGAAAAGATATACTAATATAACACTATTATATTCTTTTTGCATTTAAAAAATGGCCATCTTTATCTTAGTCTAATTAAGACGCCTAAATCACGTAGAAATAACGAAAGCCGCGTATATTATCACGCGGTATCGCTGTCTTTTTTTTTTTTAATGAGAAATAAAGGCTGCCGTCCCAGCCAGAAACGATAATGGAATTAATGTCGATTCGACATCAATTTGATGATTTCGAGATTGAATCAACGTTGATTCGACGTCAATTTGATAATTTCGACGTTGAATCGACGTCAATACCATTGTCATTTCTGACTAGGTGTACACATCCGTCTCTTTCGCAGTGTTATAATACGCGAAGGTGCGAAGCAATATATTAAATCGTTAATGGGATATTCTACATGGACACAAATACGTAGGCCGTATAGAGGTAATATTTAAGGTCGCGTGGTGAGAGAAACGGTGAGAAAATTAAGGGGAGGAAGAGAGAGAGAGAGAGGGTGTTTATTCGATTCCAGGACGAACTCTCTATGAACCTTAACATAGATATAGAATATTATGATAACGATAAAATAAGATAACAAAATAAACGAAGAGAAAATAAAATGACAAAATAACATAAACGAAAAGAAAAGCGAGATGCATCGTAAAATAGAATTTAAATGTGATAGCATGAGAAAGAAATCAAAAGAAGAAAAAATATAATACAATATAATGTAACAGACTAAAGTTATACATATAATAATATTCAGACTAAAATTATACAAAACAGAACCATCTGCAGATCTATCCATACAGATCTATCTACGTAGATAGAGATAGAGATAGATAGATGGATAGATAGATAGATAGATAGATAGATAGATAGATAGAGAGAGAGAGAGAGAGAGATGTAACGTAATTTCCCACTAACTCTCTCTCGTCGTCGCTCTTTTTGGCCGTAGCGTCTATTCGCAAAGAGATTCTCTGTCGAAACCTTAATTACTTCCGGTTGACCGTCCGAGGCAGATATCTACTGCTTGCAGATCCGCGCTAACCGTCGGTCTCGGTCCAGCGAGCGTCGGGTCAACAGCACACGGGATTTACGGCACTCGTTCCATACCGGATCGCATAATATATAACAAATTATAAAATCGAGCTTTACAGTTAGAGATGTACCGGGCGTCCGAAGGCGCGGTTGTTCGTCGATTTCGTCGTGTATAGAGGAAATGCATCGAGACGAGCTTATTACGCGTTATGATCCCCCGGTCGAAAGTGCGATGGGTTTGTTTTTCTTTTAAGTATTATTTATTAATCTCACAAGTTACATTGTAATGAACAACCCGGTAAGCCAGCCACGTTCTTTCCACTTAAAAGAACGTTTGCACTAAATTTACACGAAAACTGGTACTTTGGCAAAGGGAAGTGGGAGACGATTTTTACCGTTCTGCTGTCCTTTCAATTTTTTTAAGTGTATGTCTTTCGACCAAAACAGGATTCTTTGCATTCCATAGAAAATCAGAACATCCCGGCTATGCACAGTGTATGCCATGCGGACAGGCGTAAAAACAGGTTTACGAGCAACTGTATAATTACGCTGATTACAATTTATCGATCAGTCCGGTACTTGCGTCACAGTATACAGGATGATTTCGCACTAGTTAATGAGATATTAGAAAGTTTTTGCAATAACGTGAATCCAGATACGGTGAACGCTAAAGTCACGTTATCCTTTTCTTAAGTAGTTGTTAAGAAGAAAATAACCTGACCTTAGCGTTCACTGTATCTGGATAAACGGTATTGCAAAAACTCCCTATTAATTTCTAAAAATTGCCGAATAAGCAGATAAAATCGACACATAAGACAATTTTAAAATATTTTTCTGTGTTCTTTATAAAGTATCTTAAAGACGAATTCTCAAAAATTTCTTAAAATTGTCTTATGCATCGATTTTAGACATTGGGTAACTGAACAAATTATGAAATTGCAAAATCGTTTATAAATTTCAGGCTCAGTTTTTGATCGGAAATAGCGCTATATATGGTTCGTAGGCGTTTTTTAAATTACATCCTGTATAATAACGTTTCGTGATGCTTAAATTTCGTCGCTGGTATCGTGAATAGATTTTGAAAGATATCTCTCTCGAGAAGCTGAAAATGTTGTTCTATGCGTTTACAGACATTCTTTTGATTGTACTGCATGAAATCAATCGCATTGCGCCGCCCTGTAACCCACTTCATCTATCAATCACTCGTCTTTTTAGTTGTGCCGCTTGATGCGCCGTGCTTACCTCCCTTCGTCATTCTTACTGTACTCTACGAGATAGAATAATAATTAGAAAGAAACGGATTTCCATTACGAGATATTTCACACGCGTAATAAACTTTCAAACGACGTTACATTCCTCATGTACACTTACGGAATAATTCTCGGCGCAATAATTGCTTTAATCGCTTACATGCTTTATACGAGTATTTACTCTCTTCCTTTGCAATAGTCGTCCTATCGGATGGCGCTACAATCTTTTCAAAAAGGATTACAATTATATTCGAATGATTTGAACAATTACTCGAGATAATTTCTTATATTTTGAGAATCTTACATAATTATTTTGATAGTTTCACAAAATTATCTTCAGATTTGTATCTAAATAAATTTTTTAGATACTACTTAGATAAAACTGTTCTTTCCGATTATTTCGTACAGTATTAAGAAGATCTTAAAGCGAAGTCCGAACTCCGATGAGATCACTGTTTTACCGATAAAATGCAGCACATAGACATATCTTTATATACTACTACATTAATATTGCACTCACACACACAACACACACACACACACACACACACACACACACACACACACACATACGTACAAATTTTCTAACTAACTGATCTTTTCTATTAATCTAAACCTAATTCTAAATACTCAACATGGATTGTTCTTATAATCTCTTGTCCAAACCAAGATTGTTTTATACGTACAAAGTATAAAACTCGTATATAAAGCAAACATTATTACGAGTCGAAACTAACTAATCTTTTCTATTAATCTAAACCTAATTCTAAATACTCAACATGGATTGTTCTTACAATCTCTTGTCCAAACCAAGATTGTTTTATACGTACAAAGTATAAAACTTGTATATAAAGCAAACATTATTACGAGTCGACGTTAAAAGTTGATAATAAAACTTACAAAACTGTCATTTTCCAACTTTTTTGTTTTTGTCGTAAAGTCAACTGGTTTGGATTGCATT